AAAAAAAAAAAAAAAATCGAATAAACAATTATGTAAAAAGTTCTTTTTTAAAAAAAACTAAACTACTTTTTAATTTCTAATGTCTTTTAAGTGTTTTTTTTTTCTTTTTTCTTTTTTTTTTTTAATAAAAAATGGCTTTTAAAAATGTTTGATACCCCCTCTCTAAGATCTAAATTGATTTTTTTTTGACGCGACCGGCCATCATCTTGAATATATACATATTTATATGTTGATATCCACACCACATACTATTGCAGTTACCCAGCGTGTATTATACAAATACGATCAGGGAATATGTAGTGAATTTACAAACATATATATTGTTTTATAAATCGTATCATTAGTACCTTTTTTTTTTTTACAAATAAAGATTAACCATTCTTATCATAATTTCGACCTCCCCAGTATAACATCTCTCATTGGTTCTAATCGAAATTTAACTTCTTTCATTGCTTTTGTGGTTGGCTCCCATTCTTCATATTGTTTCCGTAATTTCATGGTTTCATATTTTAAATGAATTGATTCTGAAACTTCTCTGTCTTCTAATACACCACGCATAGCCCATGGTAAATAAAATGGGTTATTTTTCTGTTGTGCTACGAAACGATCAAGTTTTAAATCACAAGCTCCGAGTGATGGCGTTTCAAATAAATAACGTACTGCTAACCTATTTATTTAAATGGTTTCGTGTTAATATACCGTATATGCATATAATTAATGAAATATATGTATGTAAAATAATTAAAAATACAACGTACGTATAAACTTCGATTTCCGTATATAAAGCGGAATGACCTTCACCATACATGGAACCTGCAACAACTTCACTTAATTGTACCATTATACCATGATCTAATATTCCTGCATTACGTAATTTAATCGCAAAAACGATTAAACTAGTTAAGAAATCCTTCTCTTGATACAATGGACCATCAATATAAATTGCTCGCATTATTGATGGATGATTAACACCGTTGAATAAACCAGAATATAACTAAAAACAAAAAAATATTATTATTAAAAAAAATATATTTTCTAAAAAACCACTTTCACTTAAAAAACCATTTTAAATTATTTACCGGTACCACTTGATCATCCATGGAAGCAACATAAACAATTTTAACACCGGAATTAATTACTGTAGTTAATGCTTCCCTATATCTTTTTGATACAAGAGTTTCCGAATCCATAAATTCAAATAATTCCCTAGCAGCATCTGCATCATGACTACGACCAGCTCCAACATAATATTTCATTATATAATTTTCTTTTAAATATGGAAAAGGACCATGTGATACACCAGCCATTGCTAACATACAAATACGTTGTCGTTTAGGATGAACTAGACCTTCCTTAATAAGTCGTGAAAGGAGTATAGTGCTCACGGGAGTACCTTGTGAATGAGTAGCAACAAATACGGCATCTGCTAAAGATAAAGCTTCGCACCATACTTTATTATTTAACAAATTTTTATGAAGTAAGGCTTCACGAGTTGATATAGTTCCTTCACCTTCAAGTGGAATACAAGTTACAGCATCACTAGGAAGAGAAATTCCATGTTGTGATAAATAACCTAAAATAGCTTTGGCCATCATATCACAAAATTTGGGAGAAGTACCAGTAGGTTCACCAACAACAGCTCTTACTAATCTAGCAGGAAACCAACCATGAACTCCAATAATTGCAATACGTTTAACATCAACAGTTGAACGAGTTAATTCATCCAACCATTTCGGAAGAGTACCTTCTAATAGTCTTTCAGGAGGGAAAAAATAAGAATTTATGGCATGTAAAGCTTGTTGTACCATTGAATTTGGTCTTCTTCTTGGTTTATTTCTTACAAAATCTTCAAATTTAGGTAAAACGACATTAGCAGGAACAGGTTTTAAAGTTGGGGAAGCGGTAACAATTATAGTATCAGAGGATTTCTTTTCAATTTCAGTAGTTGAAGTAATTTTAAGAGATTTTTTGTTTTTAGGAGCAGAAAGAGTAGAAGGAGCGGAAGGAGGAATTTCCAATTCTTTCTTTTCCACATGTTCAACGTGATGAGAAGTAGAACCATCAGTGATCAATTTTTTAGCATTTTTTGATTGAAAGAAATGTACCCAAGAAGAATTATTATCAGATAAACTGTTAACTAAAGGATTAGATGATTTTCTAAAAGGTTTTTGTTTTTTATCATTTTTCGAAGTATTATTTTCACCCTTTGAATCTTCTTTGGAAGAATCACCTTTTAAAGAACTATTACTTGAATGAGAAGATTTTGAAGATGATGATGATGAAGGAGGTAAAAGAGGATCAGATTTTGAGGGGAGATCATCATCATGGGCATTTTTACTATTTTCACCATCATTAGATGAATCTAACAAGGTAGTTGAAGAAGAAGACCAAGTACCAAATAATGACCATCTCCGTATTTCAGAAGAATTTTTTGTGACTCTCTTTTTTCTTAGATTATCATTTGAAGAAGAAATTTCACTATCAGATGAAGAAGAAGAAATATGACTTTTATTAGAAGAAACAGGATTATTAACCTGATCCGTCTGTTTACTATTATTGTTGTTGTTTGTAGTGATGTTATTTGCGGTGCTATTATTAGAGTTATTGTTGTTATGGTTATTACTATTATTACTGTTACCGTTACTATTACTATTAGTAATATTATCGTCTCGTGAAACATCTCGTGAGATATCTCTGGAAGCATCTTTTAAAGCACCGCCACCACCAAATAGCCACCAATTTTTTGTTGAAGAAGAAGAAGAATGAGAAGATGATAATTTTACACTCTCTTCAGTATTTAAATCAGTAACTAATTTATTTAAATTAGTTGGAGAAGAAGATCTCGGTTTATTTTCTTGTAAAATTGAATCATGATTAATAATTTTTTGTTTTATAACAGGACCATCCTCATTTATAGGAGTAAGTATACTAACAGAAGAACCATTATCATGTTTTAATAATAAAGGTTGTTTATCATGATGCCTTATTGATTTAGATTTATCAGTATTTAAATTTGAACTCGTCATTCTTAATTTCTCATCCATTGAAATATTATTATTTTGTATTATATTACTATCTTTTTGAGGAGTATTTAAAGTAGAAAAGGACCACCAACTTCTAATAGAAGAAGAATATTTATGTTTATGTTCGTCATGATTTCTAACTTGAGAATTATGATTTTTTGGTATTGGGATAGCATTGGAAACTTTAATATTATTATCCGATATTAAAGGTTCAACCAAAGTAGTAGTAGTTGAAGCGTTATCCGAAACGTCCGTTGTTTCACTTGTTATACTATCAGAACGAGGACGAACTTTAATTGTAGAAGAGGAAATATTATTATTTTCCAAAATATTATTATTATTATTATTTATAATAATTTTATTATTATTATTATTATTGTTATTTTGTTCGATTAAATTTTGTTCTGAATAAGAAAAATTCCACCAAGAATTATTACGAGACATATTTGTACTTTTCTTTTTTTTTTTTTTTTTTTTTTTTTT